TCCGTCATATACGTCATGAAACCTCTGTTTTTTTTACCTTTGGTTTGTTTTTTCCGTCGATCTTGTTTTCCGTGCTAAGCACCAATGCTACCGACGTGCCAGGAAGGCAGCTCCCACACCTGGACCCTACCTATCGACCCATCAACTCATGAACCGGTAGTTCTGTGGCGAACGTTTCAGCTCAATTGAAGTTAACAAAGTTACATCATGTCAAAGTTGACCATTTTGTATGAAAATCGGCATGCGCTCACAGGAGTGGAACTTCGGATCAGAAAGTGGTTCCACTTGTCATTTGCGAACACTAGCGCACCTAGCGGTAGAAGGCATCTTCTGCCTGCAGTTAAGATAGGCAGCATGCTATGATAGTGTGAGTGCACATAGAAAGCCCGTGTGGAACGCTTCCACAACACATCGCTTGTTGAGCAGAAAAACGAACACTTTTTGATTCACCGATTTGTTTGCACTTCCCCTTCTGTTCTGTGATGCGCTGCTATTATATTGAACACAACTGTATGTGCATGGACCAGCCAAGAGGAAGAACATGCGTAGACCAGTATTCCCTCCCGCACTGTGGTTTGTCTATCAGAACGTCCGAGATAATTTACCACGTACATCTAATAACCTCGAAGGCTGGCATTCTAAATGGAATGGATTATTGAAGAGAGACAAATATAAACTGGAAAATATTTCTTCTCAGAAGTATTCCAAAAAAGTTTTAAGGAAAATAGGGAATCTCAGGAAAATACTAAGTGTATGCTTAGGAGACCTCCAAGTGATTTTTTTCTGAAGTATTTTCCGGGGTATTGCTCGAATTATTAATAATATGAAGAGCATTGCAGAGTGAATTCACACAGTATTTTACATAAAATTTTCAAGAGTACATTGTACTATGGAGGAAATTATAGGAGAATTCATTTTTTCCATAAACAATCGAGATCCTGGACACAGAGGTTCAAGCAAAAGATGGAAATTCTGTGGCTAAGGTTAGGGGACGTGAGAAGTTTTCAAGTTGCAAAACTAGCAAAAATATTTGAAATGCCGAAGTTTTAAATAGGGGAAATGGATGTAATGTCGGCCTAAATGCCTCTAATTTGGGCCCATACATACATTCAGTAATCGACTAAATTTTCAATAGCGACCAAAGAATATCCATCAGTACCGTCTCAAAGACGCGTTCGTCTATAATAAACTCCAATTTTTAATGGTTTTGATAGTATAACTGCTATTGAAAATGATGGTCATGTTTGGAAATTGTTTGTGGAAATAAAGATGATGTTTTACCAAAAATAACAAATTTTTGAGCGTAATTAGAAAACAACTTTCTTATAAACATAGACATTATCCGAAAAGTATTGGAAAAACCTGGAAAATTTAAGACCTTCTATTTAGCAAAATCAGGAGACCTGCATAAGAACCACCTAAATGTTACTTCAATTTCATTAAATAATTTCACAAGAAAAGATGACGAAGTCATAAGAAGCCCCGATAATTTCAAATTAAATTGGTAGATAAACAACAGAGAAACATCATTAATATTGATGGCTAGATTTGAAATGGTTATATTGTCCTGAAACTTACTGATTTGTAACAAGTTCTCGACATCAGTTAGGTTAACTTTTGTACTGAACATCATGAACCGCACGATTACTCGACGCGGTGAACATTTCGAAATAGGACAGAACTACAAATACAACAACTTCGTCTTCCCAGATAGCAAACCAAAAACCCTGCGTCGTCTCCAGATTATCGAGTAGAAATAGGAATTGAATCCTGATTTCGCTGAGTAGTATTGCAGCAAGATTGAAGATTACATTAATAAGGGGTACGCTAGGAAATTGGAGTCTGAAGAGTTAGCTGAAACACTTAACACCGGGTACCTGCCTTATTTTAGTGTGGTGAGCAGGGCTGTCTTGCATCAACGTAGAGAGAGCAAAATTAGCGATGAAAAATATTGTATTACTATCTTCGTCGCACTCCAAACAGCGCATGACAAATTCCGTATGAAGACAGTCATCTTTCATTTACGTCGTGGAAAAAAAAAACTATTTCAGTACCGTTGGAAATTCTAACATGAAACTTTTAGTGTGATAATTTATTAGCTAGAGAATGATCTTTAGAAGAGGGTAGGTGGATAGTTCCGTTAGAGTACGGCAGTATGAAAATTGAATAGAAGTTGAAAATGAGCGAAGGGCCATTAATGCGACAGTTTTTAAAGTCAGACGCACATCTTTTGCCTAACCCGTACGATGTACGCGGAGACTTGAAGTATGTCTTCAAGTCTACATGCAAAAGATGTGCGTCCTCCTTCTGCTCATAACTGACTGCGGCTGTGGAATAGTTCTAGCGACGTTTCATCACTACCTAAAGCCCCACGTTTGCGAGAGCATTTCCAGTCGATGGTGTGTTATAATGCAATTCTTCTTTACCCAACTATTGTGTTGCTCCTCTCGTGCAACGCGATGAGCGAGCAATCAGCGATCATAAAATCGCTAGTTGTGACCTTCTGAAAGCAAAATTGACAAATTTTATATGTCATATACAATCTTTACCACCTCTTCTTGCATCTTATAAATAAAAATTATCATTATAGTATCCCATTGTTTCATAATAACGAAAAATAGCATTTTAGCTGTGATGAGCAATTGCAAGCCTGTCTCTCTGAGATGACCACGTTGGTCATGACGAGAGGAGCAACACAATAGTTGGGTAAAGAAGAATCGCATTATAACACACCATCGACTGGAAATACTCTCACAAACGTGGGGCTTTAGGTAGTGATGAAACGTCGCTAGAACTATTCCACAGACACAGTCAGTTATGAGCAGAAGGAGGACGCACATCTTTTGCATGTAGCACACCCGGAAGATCTGATCAGGTTGTATCGAACAACCATCTTGTCGGTCCTAGAGTACGGTAGCTTCTGCTTTCAATCCGCGGCAAAAACACACATCCTGAAGCTACAATGGGTTCAATACCGTTGCCTCCGAATCGCGCTTGGCTGTATGCACTCCACGCATACGATGAGCCTCGAAGTACTCGCGGGTGTTCTCCCACTGACAGATCGTTTCGCGGAACTGTCCTTCCGGTTTCTTATCCGTTGTGAAGTAATGAACCCATTGATAATAGAAAACTTTGAGAAGCTGCTCGACCGAAATCCTCAAACAAGATTCATGAGTTTGTACTATGAGTACATGACGCTGGAGGTTGGCCCTTCTTCATTAATCTCCAATCGTGATTGATTTCAAGCCTTCTATAGTTCCTCTGTAAATTTTGATCTGACCATGATGCAAGAAATCCATGGAATACCAGATCACCATCGGTCGATGGTTGTTCCCTCAATTTTTGCAATCAAGTACCACCATGTAAGTAACGATATAAGATTTTTCACAGATGGGTCAACCATAAATGCTTCCACTGGATTTGGTGTATTTAATCAATTTCATAGCGCCTCTTATAAACTGCAGAAACCATGCTCAGTATACGTTGCGGAACTCGCAGCTATATTTTACGCAGTAGAGCGAATTGCCTCACTACCTTTTGACCATTATTTCATTTTTACGGATAGTCTTAGCTCATTGGAGGCTATTCGTTCAATGAGGCCGATGAAGCACTCATCGTATTTCCTGCCTGAAATACGATCTAAACTGAGTGCTTTATCTAACTGCTCCTATACTATCACCTTAGCTTGGGTCCCATCTCATTGCTCAATTCCGGGTAATGAGAAAGCGGACTCGTTGGCTAAGGTGGGCGCTATGGAAGGCGATATTTTTGAGCGACAAATCGCCTTCAACGAATTTTTCTCCATTGCTCGTCAGCAAGTCCTCATCAGTTGGCAACACAAATGGAATGATGGTGAATTGGGAAGATGGTTACATTCTATTCTCCCACAGGTGTCGAACAAACCATGGTTCAAAGGGTTGGACATGAGCCGCGACTTTATACGAGTTATATCAAGGCTTATGTCCAATCACTGCTCGTTAGACTCGCACTTCTATCGAATTGGGCTCTCAGGCAGCAATTTATGTGCGTGTGGCAGTGGTTATCACGATATCGAGCATGTTGTTTGGTCGTGTACTTTACACCGTGTTGCCAGATCTGAGTTATCCACATCCCTCAGGGCCCGAGGAAAACAACCCGCGATACCCGTTAGAGATGTCTTGGCGAGCCGAGATCTCGACTATTTGAATTTAATTTATCTGTTTTTAAAACGGATAGATCTGAGGATTTAGTAGTTAGTGTCATCTTGTGTTCTCCCAAGTTGTTAGCTGCCCATCGGTGTACCCCCATGTTTGTCTTTTTCATCAGAGTGTCACTTAGTTCGAGATCAAGAGCACATTGCTCTCCAAACCTTGTGTTCACAATTCCTTCCCTGCCATCCATTTGTTACAATTTGTCACCCCTAACCTCGAGATAGCCGCGAGTAATCGGCCCCCGCTTTACTAACGTTAGTTTTAAGTAATTTTGTAATCTAATCAATGAATATTGGCTCCGCAAAGCTATAGCAAATGAGCCTGAAAAAATAAACGCATTATAAAAAAAAAAGTATCTTTTACTGTGGACATAGTTTCAACATAGTATTACCATGCCGTGGTGAAATTACTATGACCACAGTAAAAAGTATCATGCAGTGCTTCGCTATTAGTTGTAGAAACTACCATGAAAGTAGTCAAAATTACCATTCTGTAAATTTTCAAAAGGTTGTTATTATTGTAATTTGTTAATTATACGTGGGCCTGTTAGTTACACTTTACACCAGGTCAAGGAAGAACAATTTAGTTCAAATACAATAATACAGAATGATATATCAAAGACACATGGTATTTTTGACAATGTACTATAAGTTAAATTTACTATGGTAATAGTAAGTATGACCCTGAAACATTGTCGGTTCAAAATCACTATCACCCCTAATAATGGTAAAAATTACTATTCAATTTCTCTGTGTGTCATCCCAAACGATGTTAGCAAAATTAGCCATTGTTTATACAATGAATACGTACCATAGAAGAAGTTACTTTTTCCAGAGCCATTTCTTCCAACCACAACATTATGTCGTTTATCAAATGGTTCCACAACAGTTTGCTCACGGTAGCTTTTGAACCCTTGTATGATCACCTTTAATGGAAAATATGACAATAACTATTAAGAAAACATACATTTTAACTATAACCTACTTGTTTTATATGCATTGTATTAATACATCACTTTCCTGCATTAAATAAATAATCAGAAAACGAAGCGTCTAACAACGTCCAAAGACAAAATTTTTATGCACAAATCTAGCGTTCAGAATCATAACGGCCTAAATACGAAGATCGTTTCTCTTAATCGATTTCCTCTTTTATTAACAATTCGGTTGGATTAATATATCTCGGTGCCTTTGGTATTGCGTCTGCTAGCCAATACAACCTTTTACATCACTGTATTGTAAAATTTTCAGAAAATGGTTTCACTTAACTATAATAGCAATGTAAAGATAAAATCGATTAAAATGATCGATCATCGCAGTTAGGCCCTTATGATTCTAAATGCTAGCAACATTAAATTCAGGGGAAACATGTAAGAAGGGTCTAACTAGAAACGTAAACAATGACTTGGATCGGTGGTTTCTTACGAATGACAACACACCCACTCAAACTAATAGCGAATTCGTTTATTATTCAGTTCCAACCTGGATCAGGTATCAAGATTGGGTCTGCTTGTTTTCTGGCAAAGGTCAATTTGCTCGTTTGTTTTTAAAACCTAGCTTAGTTCACACTGACAAAAAGTTCGGTTTCGCACTGGGTTGGAACTGGTGTTAACCCCGATAATAAACGAATTCGCTATAACTAAATCATCTGACAGAGAAATGTTTGTCTATGAGCTGGTTTAGTCAGATTCCGTGGGTGTGAGGTCATACAAGAGAAATCGACGTTCAAAGTCATTGTTTACGTTTCGAGTTATACCCTTCTGACATGTTTCCCCTGAATTTTTCGTCAAGAGTACACGCTATTTCAAAACTAACCAAATTTAAGTACAATCGACCCAGATCGATCAAAACTGAACCTACCCAAAAATGGGTTAACTATGTTCGGAGTGACAAGTTGACAAATGAACAAAGTCGATCGGATTCATGTCGATGTTGTCCATTTGTCAACTTGCCAATCCAAACATAATTTACCCATTTTTGGGTAGTTTCAGTTTTAAACGATCTGGGTGGATTTTACCCAAATTAAGGTAGTTTTGAAATAGTGTGTATACACACAAGGTAGCAGCCCAGTGGCAGACGCGCAATGACATTTAGAAGCAAATGGTGTTAGAAGCAAAAATGTTGTAAACATTGCTGAACATCTGCGAACAGATAGATATACGTCACTGCCAACATACTGAGAACAGATAGATATACGTCACTGCCAACAGCTGTTTCGTGTAAAAAGATAAACATTGCAATATAATACGAACACCACTAACCATTTGCACATTTCACTAACACCAATAAGCCCTTTGGCCCAGACCTTATATAAACGTCATTGGCAGGCGCGTAGGCAACATGTTATACAGTGACAGCGGTCACAGCGGTAATATGTTTACTCATTTACTGGGTAGTCCCAGTCTCCCTCGAAAATGCTTACTTTGTAGCAGGGTTGCTTCCACTCACTTGCTATATAAACATATTTTTCGGAATTATCTAAGAGAAGAGGTGACAATACGGGGGCGAAAATGAACCACTTTTCTGTCAAACGTGAACCAGCTCCTGATTGGTCGATTTCATGTGCGTAAGATAGAGATAGAGATAGATAAAGATAGAGATAGAGATAGAAATAAAAGAGGAAGAAGCCAATTGTCACCTCTTCCTCTTAGGGAATTATGCAATCATTAGATCAAGAGCAAATTTTCATTACGTCGAATGTAACAAAGGTAAACAAAGTCGAGCTATCAGTGTCAATCGATTCTCCTGCTATTACACTATATACTGTCCGAATATAGGATCAAATCCTATTTTTAAATTTATTTACCAGTCAAATTGCTTTTTGACGTAATCACCTTCCGATCAAAATAGTTTTCGATGTTACTTAAGTCACCCAATTTCTATGGAGATGCCGTTTGACTTAAGTAACAGCGCTGAGAAACTCGTGAAAAGTGTACGTTCGTCGTACACATTATTAAAGTGAATAAATCGAACTGTTTGTTGCTAAGATGATTTCGGTAGTCCTAAAATGATGAATGGGCTGCACGTAAGGAGACTTACTTACCTTACCAATCAGGCTAAGGCCTTGTTGTCCTCTGCTGTCCGAAGAAGTCGTCTCCACTCTACTCGATCCATGGCCACAGTTCGCCAGCCTCGTAGTCTGCGAAGGGTCCGCAGGTCACCTTCTACTTGGTCGATCCACCTTGCCCGCTGCGCGCCTCTTCTTCTTGTTCCTGTTGGGTCGCTTTCTAGAACCATTTTCACTGGGTCGTCGTGCGGCATTCTTACGACGTGCCCAGCCCACCGTAGTCGCCCAATTTTTGCAATGTGGACGATGGATGGTTCTCCCAGCAGCTGGTGCAATTCGTGGTTCATTCGCCTCCTCCACGTTCCGTCATCCATCTGCACTCCACCGTAGATGGTACGCAACACCTTCCGTTCGAAAACACCAAGGGCGCGTTGGTCCTCCACGAGCATAGTCCAGGTCTCGTGGCCGTAAAGGACCACCGGTCTAATCAGCGTCTTGTAGACAGTCAACTTCGTGCGGCGGCGAATTTTATTCGACCGGAGCGTCCTCCGGAGTCCAAAGTAGGCACGATTCCCTGCCATAATGCGTCTTTGAATTTCTCTGCTGGTATCGTAAGGAGACGTAATTGATAATTCTCCCGAATATCCTGGTAAATACACTTTGACTTAAGTAACAATAGGGGCCACCAAACGACGTATAATAACTTTTGACTCAAAAAACCAGTATTTTTTAGCATGAAAGCTAGCGATTTGAATTTGTATGATTAAAACCATGGTGGGTATATAAATGGTGATACAGCTTTGTCACTATATAGGCGAGGAGGTCGCGGGGGGGAAAAGTGCGGTTTTAGTGCAAATTGTAAACAAACTCGGTCGCTGTCCCATACAAAAATCCAACATGGCTGAATCATGAATTTGACACATTAGAACACCTATATGTAGTCACCTTGATTAAAACCCTGCTAAATTATAGTCGCTATATTCATAGTCTGGCGGATAGAATCTCGGGAACCAATTGAGCTGTCAAATAGCGGAACCAATTGAGCAAATCACGACTAACAACAGAAAAGAGCACATCAGCTATTGCGAACAAAACGTCGGAAACCATTTTCTCGTGACTCAAAGCTCGCCTACGCAAACTAATATCATCTTTGGGTTGTGGAAAGTTTCCCTTATCCGGTGATGCCGGTAGTTTGCGTTCGATTGGCGTGGAAAGAATAATTTACGTTTGTTTATAAATGTTGATAGTACCTTTTCCATTGTTGGTCTAAAATATATTGAATTGGTTCCACTTTTTGATAGATCGAAATTCTATCCGCCAGACTATGAATATAGCGACTATATGCTAAATATGTTAAACATTGCTATCACTATGAGATAATATCTCGATGAACATTTCAAATGGTCCTATCTGCTTTGATCGATTCTCTTCATCGACTTTCTCTTTTCATAACCGCTGCTATGCAAACACATTTCGCGCAAATTCTACCACATAGTTTGATAAAAAAAGGTTCTTATCTAGCGTCCAAAATGTCAAATACAACAGGGAAAGGTTTTGCAGCTGAGTTATTGTCGAAAGAGAAAGTCGATGAAGAGAATCGATCAATGCAGATAGGACCGTTTGAAATGTTTATCTAGATATGTGTTTACTTGGCAATAGGAATAACTTTTCGGTCATCAAAACAAAACTTTATTTTTCTCGGATTGGTGCGAATGTTACTTACGACATAATGAAAATTTGCTCTTGAGATGATATAATGATATGCTGTACTTAAGAAACGAGACGAGGGTTAAATGTATGTGTTTGACTTATAAAACCTGCCAATTTTGCTTTCAGAGCGTCACAATAAGCGATCTTATGATTCGTGAGCGTTCACTCAGAGTGAGCACTCACGAGTCGTAAAATTGCTGATTGTGACGCACTGAAATCAATATTGACAGATTTTATGTGTCAAACACATACTTCACGTTCTCATCTTGTAACTTACAAGTACTAATTAGCACTATACCATCTCATGATTTCATAATTCTGAAAAACATTTTTTTATAGCAAGTGAGTGGAAGTAACCCTGCTTTGTAGTCATTATTGGGTATTTTGCAAGGGAAGGAGCTGGCTGTCAAATACGAACAATCGTCGCCTACCTCGCATAACTGGTTCCAAACGTAAACAAGCCATAAGAAACCTACAGCGTTTGTTTACGTTTGGAACCAGTTTCATACAAGTATGATCAGTACACAGAAATTCAAAACAACCCAAAATTAAGTTCTTTTCACTCATCTCCCATGTTCCGTACGATAAGCCAAATTTGGATAAACCGGCTCAAAGTAGTTTGCATTTAAGCACGGCAAAAAAATTACCCATCGCTAAGTTATTTTCAATTTTTTCTACCCAAAATTAAGTTCAATTAACTCAAATTTTGGTATATCGCATATTACTCAATTTTGGCTTCTCGTACGGAACTAGACGGTTGAGTCGAATCTTTCGTTCTATTTTTGACAACAATAGCGAGCACTGTAACTGGTGAGTACCCATTAATGGGTGAAAAAGTACCCATTTTGTGGTAGTGTATGGAGCTGTCAAAAAATGCGTAAATGAAAATTTCAAATAATGGGTACTTTTTCACCCATTTCCGAAAACTGTTCAGGGATCAAAAATGAGTACATTTTTACCCTATATTGGGTGAAAAATATCTTTGTTGCTCCGTAACGTTGCTGGTATACTTGGTGTGCCTTGTCGAGTGCCTTTGTTCCGTTTTAGTAAAAAAGTGATAAATATGTGAAAATCTTCCTTGGAGGAGTCTACAGACTTCGAAGCAGAACTAGCGGCTCCGATAATTCGATGTATCTCGGTAATAAATCCATTACACTAGATTTTGCTGTTGTTAGAAAGCCGTTCATTTTTTTTTTGCAGGATGCTGAAACACCTTTACAAGAACAATTAATGAAGTATGTTGCCTGGAATGTCGATGCTAACGTTGATGTGGCGCCCCATCTGATTTTCAACGGCAACAATTACTTCATTTACGTTGAGGCTCAACTCATCCACGGTGGAATTGACTCCATCCG